GTGTATCATTATGGGAGATTTAAATGGCCACAACCCGCTCTGGGGTGGTACAACAACTAATGCTAAAGGTAAACTATTAGAAGACTTTTGTTCAGACAATGATTTATGCATATATAATGACGCTTCTAGCACATATTTACATCCTTATTCAGGAACTTATTCAGCTCTTGATTTATCGATTACTACCTCAGACTTACTGAATGAATTAGAGAGGTCAGTCCACGACGACCTGTGTGGAAGTGACCATTTCCCAACAATTCTAAAACCCGTGAATTCATCTGATGTTCCTCCATCATCAAGATGGAACTTTAAGAAGGCTAACTGGCCTTTATATGAAACTTTCTGTGCTGACATACTCAAACCAGAACTTTTTCATGATCTTCCTGATGCCATCAACTGTTTTTCAGATGAGCTCAGACACATAGCTGACAAGTGTATCCCCAAATCCTCTGCAGTTCCTCATGTACGTAAACCATGGTTTAACGCTGAATGCAAACAAGCTCGCAAGGCACGAAAGAAAGCTGAACATTATTTCCGTCGCCATCCTATGGTCCACAATTTAAACAAATTTAGAATTTTAAACGCCAAAGCACGGCGTACTTTTAAACAAAATAAACGCCAATCTAAACTATGTCTCAAACATCAATTCGCGCACGCCAATATCAAAGGTGTGGAACATGATTCAGAAAATAAAAGGTAAGGGCTCTAAATCTAGCATTAAGCATCTAAAAAGTGGAGATGAATTATTAACTGATACATCTGACATAGGAAATAAACTTGGAGAAACTTTGGCCAAACATTCTTCCTCCTCTAACTATGTACCTGAATTCCAGAAATATCAAAGACAGCAGGAATTTTTTTTATTTATTTCAATTCAGACAATGGGGAAGACTACAATGAAACGTTTTCGATACATGAGCTTCATACTGCTCTTGACCAAGCTCACGATACTGCTTCAGGAGCTGATGGTATACATTATCAACTCCTGAAGCACTTGCCTGAATCATGTTTAGAGACGCTCCTATCTATTTTTGATGACATTTGGACATCTGGACAATTTCCTTCGTCGTGGCGCGATGCTATAATTGTGCCCATCCCTAAACCTGGACGTGATCATACTGATCCTTCCAATTATAGGCCAATTTCATTAACTAGCTGTGTTTGCAAGACCATGGAACGCATGATAAATAATCGACTTGTTTGGTACTTGGAAACCAATAACCTTCTTACTAATATCCAATGTGGTTTCCGTAAAAACCGTAGTACCATCGATCATTTAGTGCGCTTAGAATCTTTTGTGAAAAATGCCATCATCAATAAACAACATGCAGTGTCGATCTTTTTCGATTTAGAAAAAGCATACGACACAACATGGAAACATGGGATTTTAAAAGATTTACATGACTTTGGATTACGAGGCCGTTTGCCTCAATTTATATCCAACTTTTTAAATGACAGGCAATTTCAAGTCCGAGTGGGTTCAACCCTGTCTGACCATTATAATCAGGATCAGGGAGTCCCGCAAGGCAGTATTTTGTCTGTAACACTGTTTAGCATCAAGATTAACAGTTTATCCAAAGTTTTAAACGATTCAATTGATGGATCACTTTTTGTGGATGATTTTAATATTTCTTGTCGCGGTAAGAATATGCATACTATTGAACGGCAAATGCAGCTGTGTTTAAATAAAATACATAAATGGTGTCTTGAAAACGGCTTTAAATTTTCTAAATCCAAAACTAATTGTATACATTTTTGTAGAAAATATAAACCGCATAAAGACCCGGAACTGTTTCTCAATGGCACTCCCATCAAAGTTGTAAAGGAGGCCAAGTTCTTGGGTTTAATTTTTGACTCGCATCTAACGTTTCTTCCCCATATCAATTCCCTAAAAACTAAATGCTTGAAGGCACTTGACTTGTTGAAAGTCGTTTCCAATTCTAAGTGGGGAGGGGATCAAGCTACCCTTCTACTATTATATCGATCATTGGTACGTTCCAAACTTGATTATGGCTCCATCGTTTATGGTGGAGCCTGCAACAGTAATCTCAAACTTTTAGATTCTGTCGACCACCAAGGTCTAAGACTATGTCTTGGTTCCTTTAGAACTTCACCTGTTGACAGCCTCTACGTCGAGGCTGATGAGCCATCTCTTACACAACGCCGTATAAAATTAACTTTACAGTATATTACAAAACTTTATTCCAATGAGTCAAACCCTGCATATAACTGTGTCTTTAATCCACTATATGAAGATCTGTATAACAAGAAGCCTTCTCTTGTTCCGCCTCTTGGTATAAGAGTGAAACCTTTTCTTTCTGCTGCTGGCATTGAGCTAGAACATATAGCTCCTTCCCGTTTTCTTTCTTCTCCGCCTTGGCAATTGGTTTGAGCCACAAGCTGACCTAACATTAACTACATTTAAAAAATCAAAACAAATGAATTACAGTATAAACAAGAATTTAGTCAATTAAGAAATAAATATACTACATACAAATCCTTATTTACAGATGGGTCCAAGGATGGTGGCGCAGTGGCATGTGCCACTGTCGTTGATCCCGAACAATATCTTCTAGAATACCGGATAACAGCTCTATATTTACAGCAGAAGCAAACGCCATCTTAACAGCTCTTAAATATATTAATAAACACCGTAAATATAAACAATATATCATCTTTTCAGATTCTCTTTCGTGTCTTCAGGCTATTAAAAATCTTTCTTGCAAACATCCACTTTTATTAGAAATTATTGAATTGTACAATGAACTTGCTACTGGCCAATGCGACATCGTCTTTTGTTCGTTACCCAGCCACGTTGGAATTTCTGGGAACACGATGGCTGATATTGCTGCTAAGGCAGCCCTCAACAAATCTGTGACACCACTTCTTATCCCATACTCTGATTATAAAGCCAGCATTAGAACATACATCCGCGATCTAATGCAAAAGAAGTGGGACACCCAAGTAGGTATTAATAAATTACATGCAATAAAACCCTACATTGGTTACACCTACTTGGGTTGTCAGTCCAGATTTGAGGAGGTCATTATGCGATGATGTCGCATTGGCCATACCAGATATACTCATGAATATTTATTGAAAGGCGAAGATCCTCCGTTTTGTATCCCTTGTGATGAAAGGATCACAGTCAAGCATGTCTTGCTTGACTGCATTGAATATTCCATCACAAGGGATATCTATTTCACATCCAAAATTCTGAAGGATCTTTTTAATAATGTCAGTCCTCATTTAATTATTGCATTTTAAAAAAAAATAGATTTGTTGACTGATTTGTAAATAGTGAAATATTTTATTATTGGTAGTTTATATTAGTAACTGAGATTGTTAGTGGCTGTACCCTCAAAGGGGGTTGACGTAGCGTAAAATTATTGTCCTCCTGAGGGGGTACGTAAGTCCCAAAACTTTCAAAGTCAATTTAAGAGTACCAGGTTTTTAATCGTAGCATTCTTGTAATTGTAATTGTAGCTAACTTTCCTTACAATCGCCAGCGGCTGAAGGGATGGTGTAAATCCAACTAGGGTCCGTGCAGGTAGCCAAGGTACTGTAAGTCCCCATGGTCCCTAGTTTGGTGATCTACCTTCTGGTGTTGGCGATCTATAGCCCATTTTTACATTGTATTGTCTTCTTTCATTGGAATATTTTAGCTTTGTTTGCTAGTTTTATATTTTCATATCTGTGATTATCTAGTATTTTTACTGTCCTTCGTCGGCAGGTTTTTATAATATCTATATATATATTCTATTTCTTACTGTCAAATGTTCTCGTCACGATATGGCTGAAATATTGCCGATGTGACGTTAAATATTAACTCACTCACTCACTCTCACTCACTCACAGACGTAACCTTTACCGAACCTTACTTTGAAACTTTTCTGCTAATGTGTTGGTGAATATGGATATGATGTACTTTCCATTCTTCCTTGTGTGATATTGTAGTTGTTTCAAAACATGACGTTCTTGAAAGGCACCTCGTGAAGGAGTACGAATTAGCTCTGAAATGACGTATAAAGAATAAAAAGAAGTTGTTATCCATAAAAACGTGTCATGTATTCATGTACCAAAACATGAAAGTGATTATACCCATCCCTCAAATTATCGACCCTTGTCAAAACCAAATACATGAACATGATAAAGGTAATCGCAAACATTCAGTGTCTGTTTCGTAAACATTAAAGTATGCAACAAACAATTTATTCTTCACACCACGTTTCAGAGCTAATGATTATTGTCTTCGTCTTACACTGATACACCGATAATCCCATAAGCTTCGTATTTACATTGTTACCTCTGTACATTAATCCTATTCAATTGGATTCGTGATTATATTATTATCTTTGTACATGTCAAGGTTTGAAGCAGTCATTCTGTCATAATGGCGTATTGGCCACACATGTATATTTACTTAAAAGTTCATCACCAGAAACAGAAGCAAAAGAAGCATCTCCTGTCTGACTAGCATTCGTAGAGTCCCCAAGGTCTAGCTTTTGTTGTTGATCGTTACCCGATGTTGATAATGCCTTCTTAGAAAATGTCATGAGTATTCTTACAAAATAGTGTTAACAATTAGGTATAATTCATGTAGTTTATTGACAGGTTTGATAACCCAAATTTGTGTAGCATGCTATTATGACTGGTATGACTTGTGTCATTTCGATAATGGCTGAAATACCGCTCATGTGCCTATAGATCTTTACTCATTTGCTAGAAAGCTAGCCTGGCCTATTTAAGAAGCTGAGCCAGACAATGCTGTTTTACTTTCTTAGTACTTCTGATCTATCAAACTAATTAATGTTATGATAGAACTGTAATTTGTATAATATTTTAGAGTTGTTTGATCCGTGTGTTTTAACTGATGTTTGTTTGTTTTTGCGATTTCTGTTGTTAGTTGTTAGTAATTAGTTCAATGTGGATATAAACACGAAACAATAGTGTAAGGCTGATATTGGTCACGCTATGCATTGAATATGCTTTATTCTCAGGCAACTGTTGTCCAAATGCATGGATCCGATATGGTAATTCTTGTTACATGTTTATTGGCACCAAGGAGACATGGATGGAGGCATCTGTGAGTATCATGATCCGTTTTACTTGTACAATTTTTGTACACAAACAAGAACAAGAACAAAAATAAACATTTTTAATACCTGATTACCTAAAGATAGAATATATGTTCTAGAAACTATGGTTTATGAATGTGAGAAAAAATATCTTAAATGTTGATCATTTGAGGTTATCTCATGGGTTTTAAATGTTCCCGGCCAAAAGGGACGAAGTTTGACTTGATATCCATGACATATAATTTAACTAACTAAAACTGTGGTTATGCGTCATGGATTGTTGCCATTCTTACAAACACGTTTCGCATTAATGGTTGAACGTAGTTGTTATGTGCCGCCTAGTGTAGTTTGTGGATTGTGAGCACAACAACCTGACGAAATATACTGTGTACTGCGAACCGCTAAGGAGATCCTATTCATGACGCACAGTGAGTGTTGCATTCTTTAAGTCGTATATATCAAAATATAGTTGTGCGATTTGTATTAAAAGATTCATTCATTTCAGCAACAATGTGTCGTGCGTGGAGCTCATCTTGCAACTATTGAGACGGCCGACGAAAACGCTTTCATAACTGGTTATCTGAAGGTGTTTGGCGGTAATAATAAACGAGCACATACATACATGTAAAAACAATATTTTAAGTTAGCATTTCTTAGATGAGACTGACTGCATATTCAAGCCCAATTTCAATCACACAAACTGCTGTAATCTATTATTTCAAACTAATACCAACGGTTCAATGTTTACCTGATGGATTTCTTTTGACACACGCAGATATTGGTGCTTACATGGTTACCTGGGTAGGTGGCAACGACATGGAGATAGAGGGGATATGGAAGTGGTCCGCGAGTGGGGAACGTGTGACATACACCGACTGGGAACCCAAGGAGCCAGAAGGCTGCGCAACCTGTGGGGACTGTATGGTCATATGGCCCAACTACAACTATAAATGGGGAGATTATCCATGCCACAATCAAGCAAATTTCATCTGCGAAAAACAGTATGATTTATCAAGATACTTCTCTTTCTGAGATTGTTGTGACAAAACACACTAATTTTAATTATTTGGTATGCATGGACTTTCAGATAGCATGGGATATATGTTAAAGATGAGTCCTGATATTTCTTTTTGCTAAAACCCTTTATCTGCACAAGATATATATTGTAGAGACTTAAATTCACAGTCATATAATTACTTATTATACCTTTCATTTTCAGAATAACAGACGGAAGCCTTGTTGGATAAGCAAAATATATCTAAAATAAATAAAAGCAAATATTCCAAAAGTGCCAATTTGTTTGTTGGATCTAACATAAAAACCATCTATCAAATGTTGTGACAGTGACCATACTTTGAAATATTTCGCGGTGACAAAATGACACATGGCATACACATTTGGATGCAAGACACAGATGAAAAGAAACTGTGCAGAAATGCATTCAATACCTCAGTAAGAATTTCCTGAAAAACCCCACCTACCGATAATTACGCAATGTCAATATAACGTACAACTGGCGGAATTATTGAAACAGATCATGAACACCAAGACCATACAGAATACAGAATACAGAATACAAAATTTTATTTCAGTAACAGGCCTCCGGCCCAAAATACATGTACATAAATTGATGATAAGTGGAGCACATATATATTTCATTTAGATTTGTGTTTCTTGTCAACAAAGTATAAAAATAGACATACATCCTTGATAATATTAACGTTTTTACTCTGTAATATTGATATAAAATTAATAATTGATGGACATTTACTAAAATATTTTGATATGTACTTATTTCTGATATGAGAATATGCATCACAGATATAAAACACATGCCATTCATCTTCAACAACGAAGATACCATTTAATTTACAAAACAGGCAATGCCTTTCATTATATGCAACATCAGTGTATCTGCCCGTTTCAACTGCTAGTTTAAAATTACAGCACCGAAATCGGGCATAAATAGTTTTTAAATATTGAGGGATATCATTATTTATCAAGTAGCTCTCAACATTTAACAAAGATTTGAATTGCTTATAGTAAAGACATTTAAAGTAACTGTCCAAAGATGAATGCCAAGATTGAAATAAATTATCATGTAGTCTCTGTTTAAATGATTCCATAAATATTTTGTGATCACCAATTTTCTGACTTATCCAAACAAATCAAAACCAAATTGAAAAAGAATATTTTTAATTCTAGTTGCCCATGAATTTCGTCCTACCCTGTCTAAAGATAATAGCATAAAATAACATTGTTTTGGTAATCTATAGTCAGGCATGTTTAGAAGTCTGCACCAGTATTTCACTGCATTGGTTGTATAAGTAAACTGTAAAGGCACTCTTCCACATTCACCCAAGACCATATTGTTACTTGTGGATTTTCCAAGTTTCAAGACATATTTACAGAATTTAATATGGACAGATTCAATAGTATTACAGTAGGATGTGCCCCAGATTTCAGACCCATAACAGAGAATGGGTGATATCATACAATCAAAGATTTTAAATAAATCTGTGCAATTAATGATGCCAAGTTTCCTTTGGAAATTTTTAACCGAGAATATTGCCTTACTAGCTTGTGATGCAAGGCAAGATGTAGCTTTACTCCAGGATAATTTATAAAATTAGGAGTGAACATAATTCCAAGGTACTTGTAAAAGGATACAGTTTCAATAACATTGCCATTATATAACCAATTTTCATATGAGGCAGGGGACCACCATTTCTAAAAACAATAATTTTAGTTTTCTTTAGATTCACGCTCATACCAGTTTGCTCACAAAATTTACCAAGTAGATTGATATTTTTTAGCAGCTGTGCACAGGCGTCAGCTATTGCTGACACATCATCAGCAAACATGAGAGAGCAGAGATTGCTAACAGAAGAAGAAACTGTAATACCTTGACCTCCTTCTAACTCCATAAGACTGCATAGCTTATTTATGAAGATTATAAAAATCTGAGGGCTCGAAACACAGGCTTGGCGAGTACCGATTTTACAATAAAAACTATTTGATACACCCTTAGATGTCCTGACTGAAGCCGATAAAGAACTATACATAGAAGTTAAAAGCATAAGAAATTTACCTCGTATACCAGCTTCATAAAGTGACTTTAGAAGAACATCATGCCTTAGAGTATCAAAAGCCTTGTCAAAATCTACAAAGAGACAATAAAATCTACCCCCTTTTTTGCTAATATATTTTTGAATTAACGACTGCAATGAAAAAATTTGGTCAATTGTTGAATAATCAGCCCTGAAACCAGACTGTGATTCACTGATAATATCATGAACTCACACCATCGCTGGAGGCAGCAATTAAGAATTGACATAAACACTTTACTAGTAGAATCTATGAGAGAAATTCCTCTGTAATTATTAGTATCATCTCTACAACCAGACTTGTGAACAGGACAAATAATGCTTTTACCCCAACAAGATGGAAATTTACCACTATCAAGAATATGATTAAAAAGCTGAGTAAGATATGGCACAATGAGATGACTAGAAGCCTTTAAGAATTCAGCAGCAACACCATCTGACCCTGGAGATTTATTATTAGCAGAATTAACTATCTGACGTGAAACCTCCTGTTGAGTAATAGGACCATCAAGCCCTTCTGATCTCCAAGACCATACATACAGTTATATACTTTAACATAACGTTTCTAATACTAGTTATGTCATAAAAAGATTTGGGAATATATTACAACCTGTCGTGATGCTTGATAGAATATTATATGACGTCCAGCGATCTTACAGGAACAATTTCACACATTTTCGACAATATTTTGACCTATATTATACATATTGGGGAATATGCACTCAATTTAGCTTCCACCTGCTGCAATAAAAGACTTATTATCCATTACGACTTGCCTGAAATCGATAATTGAAACTTCGAGGCAAACAGATTCTACTCAAAGAACACTTACCATGTATGGATTGTAAACAATTCCTCCGAACATCGAAAGCTATCGCACGCGGTGTTGTGGGTGTTTCCCAAACTGGTTTTCGTCACAAGTTGCGCGTATGTTTTTGCACCAGACAGTAGCGTCACTTTGTCTTGACTCCAAAGGAGTTATAGGATATTCGTAAAGAGCGCTGCAAGGGTTTCGCTTGAAATAATTTCAGCGGGTAGTGGGGCGCGAGAATGCAACGTTGCATTTATTCATTCGAACTGTTTAATTTAATATTTTAATCCGCATATGTATCTTGTAAAATAAATTATGTGGTAGCTTTCCTTATGACCGATAGTCAGTACTATTGAGAGAAATGCATTATTTTACAGAAGTGTGGTGTGAAGTAGTGCCTTTAAATTACCATGAGTGGGTGGATGGGGTTCGGGTGGGTAAAATGATGAGGACAGTTGAGATTAAAATCTGGCAAACATTCATCCATTCTACAAGGCATAGTGTGTATAGGTTCCCCAATGGTGATTTGAGGTACTATTTCCTATTTCTGCTGTCGCATGTTCAGCCAAAGAAGTTTGCGTCCCATGACGTTGACGCGCACGTCTTCCTTATATGGTAGACACGTGTACGTCTCTCAAGGAAGACTAACTTCAGTCAGGACTGAAACATAATAAGCCAAAATGTCCCAAATTTAGGGTTTGTGTGTACCATTATCGTCTGTTGGAAAAAGGTCGAGTTGTAGCCGGCAGCACAAATATGGTCGGAGAACATTCAGATGAAGTGCGTGAAGACAACGCCCAGCTGTCGGGATCCCAATATTCGAAACGATCTTGTTAGGAAAGAACCGTTTTCGAAACTGTCTCAAATCTATCGGAGATCGTACAAAGCTGTGATGTCTGTTATACAAATGAGACCAACACTAGTTGTCATGTTAATACCAGTCCATTATATGGAAACTTAAAAGGTTATTGTGAAGAAAATAGTTCTTTGATGATACGTTTAAAAATTAATCAATTATCGTTCACATCCTCAATAAAGGAAACTGAATGTTGGACAATGTTAACTCCTGTCGACACTTTTAACTCAAACGAGTATGGGAACCCGTACCTTCACTTGAAAATGAGTTAAGCATACGCTCAGCACAAACATACTGACACATGTGTGTCCTTGTTCAATGAATAACACACGTACACATACACGGCCAGGTTCACGGAGTCTGAATTGAGATATTCTGAATTGAGATGTTCTGAGCTATAAAATATCACGGTCGCTATTACAGCCTGCCAATAGCTTCCGCCTTTTTTTCCTTCCCAAAATAACGTAAACGCTTATTCAGGAAGAGATTCAGACAGAAAGTATGCTTCAAGTTATCGACTTCATAGTTCATCGTTATCGCGATATCAACATTTCTCTTGTGAATCGTCTATCCCAAATATTGATTTTGAAAAACACAAACTTTAAAGAAAAAATATGATTTGCCAGTTGAGCTCCAGTTTTCTTGAGTATCACAATCTGATACAATACCTACAGCACAAACAGTGGCAACACACTGAGTCATTTCATCCTCAAATATTGCTTGCAACAACTATTTACCAAGAGTCATTTGTGAAATGGACATGTACTGAATGCATAAATGCTTAGTCAGCCTTCTAATACATAAAATCGAATTATCGTTTATGTCACCTCACCATGAAACGCCCACGAACGATAAATGTATGGCCAAATTCCTCGGCACACAGCCACCCGCAACGGCCATTGCTGACTTTAGGCGCTTCACATCGACTGGTGGGCGGTCTGTTTCATTTCGTCATGATAAAATCAGTTTTTAAAAAATTGATTAATATTTTCTTGTTTTCTAAACTTTCGGTGTAATTGGTTTTGAACAAAAACATTATAAATGTTACATCACCGACAGGGTAAATCGGAACTATTATGGCAAGGGCGGAAAACTAACAACTCTACATGCATTGTGAAGCCGAAAAGCTATTGCAATCTTATTTGTATAATTATATTACTGAATTCGCCGGAACTGACTATATGGTACGATTACATAACTTACGATTACATAATCCTTAGAAAATAGTAATTGTCATATTTATTATTCCCCCGCCACGAAGTGAGGGGGATACAGGTTTGAGCTCCTCTGTCCGTCCGAGATGATGGGGACAGATTTTCTCAGAAACTGTTATAGACAGGGAAACCAAGTTTGGCATGTGTTTTCAGGATACACAAACCTTTAACAGAGTTTGAAAACGATAACCGTCTTACGATTCTTTGTTCAGTGCTGGGATCAAGAAATAGACCTCGACTAAATGAATTCACTCAAAATAAGTATATATTTTGGACATTAAAACAACACATCATTTGTTTTACAAATAAGAGCAAAATTGAAGAGCTTTCAAACCTTTCCTTGTACCAATTGTTTTACATCGTTTGACGTATGCCAACCGGAGACACTTAACCGATGTGGAACAGAATGGACATCAACTCTGACAGTCAACCATCGATAGATTTTACACTTATATCTGATATCACAGGGTACAGAACTTATAATATTCATGCTTCCTGTTTAACTTATTATACTTGTTACCATTATAAGATTGTACCTATGACTGTCATATTACTGAGAATATTTCTGTGTAAATGTTCATTACAAGGTAAAAGTGCCGCATATTTTTCTATTTTCCATAGTTTTTCCATGATATTTTCGCACTGAAAGTACTGTTACCTTGCGCCTGGAGAGCCTAAGGTCGCGGTTCGATCCCCGACCGCGTCATACCAAAAGACGTTAAAATATGGTACTTGTTTGTCCCTGCCTGGCGCTCGGAATTAATGGGTACAACAAGGACTGGTCGGCTCGGAGTCAGTATAATGTGTCTGAGTGGGTATTCATGCTTCACTGCGGCCTGGTATCTCAGTGGGCTAGCACTATAAAACCAGCTTCAGTCTGGGCTAGTGCTAGCAGCCGCACATACACATACACGCACACGCACATTCTCAAGCACGACGTTAAACCCAATTTCACCTCACCTCACCTGTTACTTTGCATAAGCACGTTTTGTTCTCTACATACCATCACCTCATCCATGTTCGTTTAGCTATGCCGCTTCCATTAGTTGTCGTAAAACATCTCATTAAGTAACACTAGTGACGCCACGCCTTCGGATAGCTATATGGTTGCACAGAATACTCATATCCTCTTTTTATATTTATAGTTTCGTTTATCATTTATATTAGATAATTCCAATAATATTTTCTCTCTTGACAGACACCGTCATTAGACACATCCTCCGTAGAAGGTTCAACGGAACACCTCATAGTGATGTGTTTTACCCATACTAGTATGCACAGATTAAATGCACCCATCTGTGAGACAAGAAGAAGATAATTAAGTAATTATGGAGTGACAACACTCAAAACTCGATTTTTTTATTCATGATTTCACATTTGGTTTTAATCTTTGAGTCTTCAGTCTCATGGGATTCTATACTCCCTTTTGGTCTGTACACACATTGAATCCACACCCAACTTGTGAACCTCAGTTGTCACTAAAAGACGGTGAGTCATGGATGTCAGCGTCTTTATTTTGGGGGACACGATGTTTTGTAGTATCTTCGTTCTCCTTCATCCGGTGAATGAATCGAATAAGAGGCAGATACGAGTTCGTATGCAACAACAACAACAACACTGATAAGATAACATCAATGGAAGCCGGTGTAGTTCATTGCGTTGCTCGGTAATGACTGATTGGTGCATATCTAGAACATATCAACAACATTATATTTCATCACATATGGTGTGGTTTTCAGAAGAGTCCCCTGGGACTTTATGTATTACAGATGAAAATTACAATTGAACCAGGTGTGGACGCGTAAATATATTTTTGAGAATAATTTGCAGTTCGTCAATTGGCCCATAAAATGTGAACTACAGAATTCTTTCCACAATGATGGCCCTTCCCGATCCATTTGATCATATAGAGACCCATCTTGAAATACAACATTTGTCTCTCCCAAATGTAGCCATCGTCTCCTGTAAATCAAGGTTTGAATCAGTTTGCACCTAACTGAGAATGTGTGTGTGTGTTTGTTTGTTTTTTGTGTGTGTGTGAGGGAGAGAGAGAGAGAGAGAGAGAGAGAGAGAGAGAGATTTACGGTTGAAATTCTTATTCGGCAAAATTCTATTTAAATGTATGTGTTGTACACATTTTCAGAATCCTGAAAGAAGGGTTTGATTAATATCTGGTTTCGCTCAATACGTCACTTGAGCGCGTCTACGTTAGATTTACTTCCAGTTTTGTATTCATAATTGTGATATTCTAGCTGTTTTGCTATCCTTCGTTGACGGGCTTTTTATGATTTATTACATGTATAAGTAGTGAATTTAAAACATGTTTTAGTCACGATATGGCTGAAATACTGCCCATGTCACTGAAAAGTTGAACTCACTCATTCACACACAATGATCAAATCGATGAGTGTCCGATGATTTTGTAAGTTAAGCCCCAGGAGCTTATTTCACGTGATACAAAACCTATGAATTCAGCCCAGGTGTCAAGGCTTATATTCTCTATAATAGAGGTTATACCACCTAGTAATGTCACATGTTTCCAAATGAATCATTAAACTGTTTAGATTATAATGCATCAACCCATGACGATCCGGGTTAGAATTGGTCTTCAGCAACACATGCTTGTCATTAGAGGCTACCGTGATTGGGTGGTCAGTCTCGCAGACTTGCAGTTGGTTGACACAATCGTTTCATCGTATCCGAATTGCGAAGATTGCCTCGCATGATTTTGATCACTCGAAAATTTACATACCCTTATCATACAGCAGTACTGCTGGTGAGTGCGGTGTTAAACAACAAACATGCAAACCCTATGCATCAAAATACCTTTGCATAGAAATTATTCAAGGGCATTTACTCGTGCAGCCCTGCTGTAGGTTTAAGCGGGTTTCCATCTGCGCGTAGTGCTTAGTGCATAGTGCATAGTGCACAACAACACTTTATAGTAAAATAGTAATTGCCGTTTCCATGCGTTTCCATATCACGCAGCTATACGGAGGCCGGAAGTACTGACTCCCAAGGGGTTTTCCTAATATCACGTGGTTTTCATTGCACACAGTTGCAAAATGCCAAAGAATTCGTTACACGAGATACTTCTTGAACAATTAATTGAAGTGTTCTCCTGAGTCTCAGGAGTTCATGCACCCACTACCGGTCATTTCGTTTTTTTTGTTTGTTTTGGCTTATTTTTTATTTATTTTATTTTTTTTGGGTGGGGGTGGTTCAAATAACAGTACAGTATGCCTGTAATACTCACATCCTATTCTTCCTCTGTTATGTCTGTTAGTTCGCTTGCTTTTTTCAAGAAACATGGTGGCATTGTAGACAGCAGTTGTGATCAGTACGAAACGGAATAGAAAGGTGAGTGAGTGAGTTAACATTTTGTGTCACATCGGCAGCATGTCAGCCATATCGTGACTAAATCAAGTTACATACTAATAATAATTATGGGTAAAGTATAAAAAGTCTGTCAACAAAGGACAGTGAAACAACTAGAATATCACATATATAAATGTAAAACTAGTGATTAAATCTAAAACATTTTAACTATAGAGGACAACACAATGTAAAAATGGGCTATAGATCGCTAACAACTGAAGGTAGATCACCACACTAGGGACCATGGGGACTTACGGTACATTTGCTTCCTGCATGGGCCCAGGCTGGATTTACATCATCCCTTCAGACGTTAGCAATGTACATGTAGACAAATCTAGCCATACATTTAAAGCGACACATATTCTACGATTAAAATAGTGGAGAGTTTGAATGTTTATGGACTTACGTGAACCCCCTCAGGAGGACAATATTTTTACAGTACTTTAACCTCCTTTGAGGCTACAGCCACTAACAATCTGAGTTATTAATTTAAACTTCCATGAAATATTTATCTATTTACATATCATTTAACAAATCTAATTCTTTTTAAAATGCAATAATTAAATGAGAACTTATATCATTGAAAAGGTCCTTCATAGTTCGTGATTTGAAATGGGTATCCCTTGTGATGGAATATTCAACACAGTCAAGGAAATAGAAGGGTGATTATATATATACACGTACACGTCGAATTGGACGCTAAGCACACGTAATACGTCCTACGCATCATGCTATTAAGCAGACAATACATACACATGGAAACCTAGCTGTAATTGTAATTTATGTTACAGTAGTGTCTAGGATTGATCTAGATTGAGGATAACGCACTGACAAGTGCCATGGATTCTGTGTATTTTGGTGTACATGTCATTTATGTACAGGATGCAAACAAGAGAGCGGCAAACATTCTAAACAGGGATTTTGGTTTGGAATGGAACAAAATACGCTTCAAGTTTAGGGGTTTCTTTTTGTTTTTTGTTGTTGTTTTTTCTGTTATCTACATGTATATGTATTTTCTACATGTCTCATTTTGTTGTAGAGACATCTGTTGGCTTGGATACTTTTTATAGCGGTATATGCACTGATCATTGTTGAATACGCCTGAAACGAACTTGATGTCGTCAACCCCCTCTCCTTTTATATAGTGCTAAGACCCCGACAGTGACAATAATAAACCTCGATGCCATTTTTGTGTTATAAGAACTCGTGACCAGGTGAAAGTTGGTGTCACGTGACCAAGAACCAGGACAATCGATAAGCTGTTTATAGATTTCGTTTCATTCGCCGGGGCAAAATGAGATTGTGCTTCTTATTTCTCATTGTGCTGGTGTCCACCACTGTCCAAAGTGATGGCAAGTGCTGGGATGTGGGAGGATATATTGGTTAAAGGATCAACTGACAAAGACGAAACTTAAGTGACTTGAAATTTGTCAACAATACACATGAATGTATCTAGTATGTATATTCATTATCTCTATTGTATTATCTAGTGTAGTGGTTAGAGCGTCCGTCCGGAGAGCGGATCCCCGACCGCGTCATACCAAATGACGTTAAAATATTGTACTTGTTGGTCCCTGCCTGGCGCTCGGCATTAATGGGTACAACAAGGTCTGGTCGGCTCGGAGTCAGTATAATATGTCTGAGTGGGGTATTCAGGCTTCACTGCGGCATGGTATCTCAGTGGGCTAGCACTATAAAACCAGCTTAAGTCTGGGCTAGTACAAGCAGCCGCACATACACATGCATCCACGTCGTCATATGAGCGAAATATTCTCAAGCACGACGTTAAACCCAATTTCACCCCACCTCACCTAATGCATTATCTAGACCTCACCTCACCTAATGTATTATCTATCTATCTCGCCATACTAACCTGATTAGGACATATTTTGTGTAAAATATTTTGTTCATATATTTGTTCTGTTTTGGATGTAGAAACAGATGTACTGGCATAATCAAGGCAATCATGATCTCTTGAGGAAATGCTTTCGCGTAGAAATGATGAAAGGTTACTATGTATTATTTTACATGCACCGTCAGAATTGCAGCCACCCGTTCCATTGTCAGTTTAGAAATAGATGTATTCACACAATCAAAACAACTATCTATTTTCTCCTGAATGCGTATGGCTGCTGAAACGTTACCATCATCAACTTGTTTGAATGAGAGTATGCTTGTACATTGCACCGTCAAAACTGCAGCCGATGGGTACTGAGAAACAATTGCCATAAAACTGGAGAAGCGAAACATGCACACAAAAATTATATGTAGTACGTATCGAAGTGAGATCATCAATCGCTTACCCTTTTCCTGTGTCTAGTATCTATCCTAATATGCTAAGCTGTTTCACAAAAAGACACAGGGTCGCCATATTATCCATTTCATGGTTACTTAATTTCATAACTCATTTTCCCCAGGATGTTTTTCAGACGGATGGATCCAGTATAGCAATTCCTGCTACTTTTTTTGTCGCAGCCAAAGCAACGTGGCAGAGGGCATCTATAGGTATAGCATGATAACCATAGAAAACAGAGTAATAACAGTCGATCTATGCATACGGTACGCATGCGATTACTACTATTGTCCTTGTTGTCAGCAAATTAGCAATATTCCAACTATACTACGGTGGTACATAATCAAAGCAGTGGTTGACAGCAATAAAACGACAATTGCAGAAACACAATCATAGGTTTCACACAATGTATTCTCGAAATCCTCACCAGGGGACTCTTACCCCATACAGGGGAAAAGAATGTTTGCGCAGGGGGCACAATTGCAAGAATCCCCAACTTGGATGTTCCCATAGATCATGACGTAAAATACATCACATTATGTGTAACTGACGGCACTGAGTTCCGTAGGCACATGGAAATCCTCACACAATTATTAATCCATTTCAGCAAATGTGTGCAGCACATGGTGCATTGTTAGCAGCTATTGACACTGCCACTGAGAATACATTCAGAAGAGGCTTCCTATGGATGTTCGTAGGTGAATAACCAGTCCTTAACAATAAAATATTAGAAAAGATAACAAACCGCAATTTACAGTTCACAGGCGTATCTTGCAGTCACAAAAGCGCCCCACGTATACGAAAGTATTGCCATTTAATATGTGTCGTTAATTTGAAGGGGATTGCAATCAAGCTTGATGAACATGTTCTTGGGATGTGTGTCATATCCAACCTGGATCGGGGGGTACAGATGCGCAGGTGGAAGGAATGTGGAGATGGTATCCCAGTGGAGAAACGATGACCTATTCTGACTGGGACTTGGGCGAGCCGGCTGGTTGACCTGCCTGTGGTGACTGCCTGGTTATATGGCCCGGCTACAAATATCGCAGGGGAAATTACCCTTGTGAACAGCAGGAGAACGAAGGTGACTATATGAGTGATTGAGTTTAGTTTTACGCTGCACTATTCCAGCTATATGGCGGCGGTCTGTAAATAATCGAGACTGGACCAGACAATCTAGTGATCAACATCATGAGCAATGCATGCATATATACCTTTTTAAAAAAGACTTTCTGAACCATTGCCAAACACCGACGTTTTATTACAAGCATGTTCTTCAAACTCTAAACGCCACTATGACTTCCCTCAACTTCCCTTTTCATAGTTTTACCTTCGTACTACTGGATATTTGTATGTCTGGACAGTTCTGAAGTAAATGAAAATAATGACATTAATACCCGCTGAATTACATTTGGCAACATCATCGGATAAATCCTCAAAGACAAACGCAAATGGGACAGCATCCTTGTCCATCGATAGTTATCAGTGTTAGTTATTTAGCTTCTGTTTGATATATCTACCAAGTCTTGTAGGAAGATATTGAACGGTTTCCGAGTTGTGCTCGGAAAACGAAGCTCACCCCTCTCTTTTGAGACTAAGACTAACCACGAGGCTACCCCTCCGCCCCAGACTTAAACAGCCTTTATATGGCACAAATGTGTACTTGCAGCCATGTACCTACTGAACTGAAAATATAACATATGACTTCCAAAATACACAGGTACAGATGTTCTTGATTTCAAACAATACAGGGTACTTGATACCACCCTCACATACTGTCTAAGAAATGAACGTGTATTACAAACACGATGGTTAGACACGCAAACTCGTGACACATGTTTCAACATTTTGTAAATAAGTAAAGTTAAATTTTATCGTCAATATGTTTTCTCTGAACTTACGAGATATATAACTCCAGCAAGGTGGCTGTATAAAGCTTCATGACGATAGATGCATTCGTAAAATGTACAATAACTAACCAGCATCCGGGTTAGACAACGGGACCCATCTCATTCTCTCTGTCTCAAACAACCACATAACATTCCATAAGCCCTACAGCCCAGTACCCCTACAATTAGTTATCAAACAACGTTTGACTCTCGGAGAATATTACCCATGAAATATCGATAGCTTTAAGTCCTTATGTATATGAATGAAGAGCTGCAAGCCAATCGTTTGATCAGGATAGTTGAGTAATTGATAGAATTTGCTGAAACAGTCGATGCCAAAATAGTTCTACAGAAATTAGCACTTGGCAAATAGAATTAAAATCATTTTTTTCTTAAGTTTGTAAATACCTCCATTTTTTATTCATTTTCAGAACACATTGTGTACAGTGTGAGCATGTTCTTGTGAAAAGTATTACTGCATAATGCATTTGACAGTCTTTATCTACACTTAATTATTGTATTACTCTTGATCTCCTTTCAAAGAAAGTAATTTCGGCTCTCTGCAACTCATGGCCCGGGAATTAAATCGAACAGACAACGTGTAAATACGACACATATCAGACACATATCAGTTATTTTATTGTACCACTGTATGGATATTTACTCTGAGACGTCACCATTCAGATACAGAAGCCATCATATGGTTTCGATTATGCACTAACCAGAACATATCCTGAAAAACTCCATTTGAATTTGTAATAATTTCGATGAAAACGACAACAAATGAATCTTTCTGCATTTTACGCTTCGAAATATAAACAGTATCACAAATATATTGTTCACACTCCGTGAAAAGTCTAGGCAATGTCCTCGTTTGAGTTCATATTTAGATGCTGTTCAACTAACCAGAAACCATACACAGTGTTGGCCTGACAAACGGAAATAGCCTTCCTTGCAATGTTAGATCTTTGGTGTTTTCCCATCTCACATCTCAGGTCACTGCACGAATTACATAATCACTGTTAGATGTGATATTAAATGTTATGTTCTTCAGTAAGTTCTCTCCAACACAGTCAGTGCACATGGACATCTAAAATTATTAAAATGATTCCTTTCTTGTGTATTCTTCCTTGGAAAAGATTTTTTGATTCAGGAGTAAAGCGTCAATCTCGTCCTTGAGAAGTCTGTGTGGCATGCTACAAATTAGTAATTCCATGGTCGTTCATATTGCTGTGGGCGATTGATAGTTTCCTCACTCGTCTTTGTTTCCTAAAACATTGGCATATCATAACAAGCGACGTGCAATTCACCCAGTACACCTTACGTATCATAACTGATTATGCTAAATCGTAATGTAAATACAAACAAACAACAATAAACAAACAAATTTCGATGAGAATGAGTTGCTGCTGTGAAAACAAATTTTGAATACAATGCAAGCCACTCATATAGGAGTGTTCTATGGAATTCATCAGCCTTGTGACCAAGAACACAAATTATTGTAAACTGTGTGAATGCATATGTTAACAAGTATCATTAAAGTTTTCCTGGCAAATTTTGCATGACTACTTTTTATCGATTTTATTCTGTACTTATTACAATTCTCCAGGGTCCCTAGTATGGTGATATACCTTCAGTTGTTGGCAATCTATAGCCGGTTTTTATATTGTATTGTCATATAAAAGTAACATATTTTAGATTTAATTACTAGTTTTACATACATCTGTGATATTCTAGTTGTTTTACTGTCCTTCGTCGGCAGTTTTTTTTTTTAATATACATATATTTCATTTCAATATCGAATGTTCTCATCACGGTATGGCTGAAATATTGCCGATGTGTCGTTAAATATTAACTCACTCACTCACTACAAATCTCCAGATCTCTGATACATGTAAAAACAACATCTATGAGAATATATTCAATATTGTCGTTAACGGAGTTTAGACGCCGTTACCGCGACAGTAAATGCTCACACTTACCTGCAGTAAACAACAAGCGCTATAAGTATTATCGCCATCACGACAACAGCAAATATAACGACCACGATGAAGCTGACTAAAACAAAAAGCAAAGGTATTGTGTAAAATGATATGGATGCAATACAAGAAGAATATCTATACATAATTGTATAAACAGTGGACATACTGACAAGGTACTGTTGCAAATACCCGCATTTTTGGTCTTATTGACAAGCTATATAGGCTACAAAGGCAACACCCATATTTACACTTTGTGTCGTTTTAACAGACACTTCCAATATTTTGTAATGCGAGGTATAATATT